CATCATCTTTGTTTTCAAACATCTCGAACGTTACGTCATTGGTGAATGATGCTCTGGGACCGAAGCGAGAAAAAATTCGTCAGTTAACAGGAGTTCATGATTTATTAAAGAAGGTACTTCTGTAAATTTTTTTCTGAGAATCTTAATTTATATTGGAACGTTCAAAACTAATGCCTTACACAATTTATCTCAAAGATTCAATTTATTTTTGAATTGCCTACTAGACTGAAGTTATGTCTAGATCAGGAGTCTTATGCGCAGGCTGTAAGATATTATGCGAAAACATCTCGTCTCTTAGAACATTATAGAAGTTTGTCGGTATTTAGTTCAATTGAAAGTGAATGCAAAGAGATTATTGATAAAGTTTCCAAGAAAATTAGAGAAAACATGACAAGTGAAAATGTAAGTTAGTACTTCATTTGTCATATTACATCACGTTCTGTTGATCTATATTGAACTTGGGTTTAATTTTAGGCAACTGGCTCGGAGATAACAGATTGCATAATATTATTGATTTCATTGAAAGAACCTCCGCAACAACTCGCTAAAGAATATCTTGATCTGTAATTTCCTTTATTAATAACTGTCTCTTTAGTAAATCCTTTATTCTAACAATAATCTATTTTTCTTTTCACTAGCCAAGAGACTTTTCTTTCCAAACTTTTGGTAACCACAGTTGACGAAATGTCAAATGTCCCTGCAGATTATCCCTTTAAATCTTCAGAGGATTATCAATTAACAACTTCAAATGAAAGGGCTATAATCGAACTTTCTTATTTAAATGAAAAGTTTTTAAAGGAATTAAATAAGTTTGTTGAGTCTTTTAATGGATTCTTTTTACAACCAACAAAAGAATGCAAAGATGCCAAGTCGCCTGGGAAATCCCCCGCAAAGTCTCCAAAAAATAACGACCTTATTCGATATGTTTCTACTAATTTGGATATCGAAGTATGTTTTATAAAATCCCGTTTTTATTTGAGAACACAAAAATGTTAATGTGAATAATTCTTCACATCATATATCATTCACATTTGATAACATTTGGCAATTCTAGGTAAAAGAACTTGTGCGTAAGGAATTTTTAGAATTCATTGATGCAATCACCTCAGAATATTTAACGATTGTGGATGGCCTATTAGAATTCCCAGTATGTTTCTTTTTTAATTTGTCAAGTGGAGAAACCTTTATGTTAAAAAAAAAAAGAGTTACCTTACGATGACAATCAAATTTTTTTAGGAAAACATAGTAGATTTTAAACCAGAAACCCACGTAAAATTACTTAATAAACTTAACTTTGCTGCATTATCCTGTGCAAGCCTTTGCAGTGTCATCAAATTTGATGAGCGTATCAAAGAAGTAATCAGTACATGGGAGACAGGAATTGGAAAGAGACTGTTCGGAAATGCAGAAAAAGAACTTATTGGTTAGCTTTTTCTTCATACAGTAAATTGAATATTATTTGGGCATTTTAATTTTAAATTTGAATATATTTTTTTTATAAACAGAGGAATTTGTAGAGTTTTCTGAAAAACAGAAGACAAAAGTTTTTTCATCATCACAACAACGATTCAAATATGTACAAACATTTGTATTGGATACGGAAACTTGGTTGACCACATATTTAACAAAAGACTGTCTAAGGATCATAGAGGTTTGACTGAAAAGAGTATTCTAGAATGAATCAATCGATATTTGGGATAGTGTTAGATCATAAAACGCTTAAATAATTTCTTAATTCAAGGAATGCATGAATACTGAAGTGCCAATGTTTGAAAACAAAGATGATGTTGAAAAATTTTTAAAAAAATTTCAAGCCGAATTTAGGGAATTTTGGTATTCTATAATAAATTCTATGATGGTAGGCTTTCATTATATATACGTAGATAATTTTTATTTATTTATTTTTATTACTGTAAAAGTTGTCTTAATTGTTATAATTCGTTTTTGACATTAGAAATTTGTAACTCCAATAAATCCATATCCAATAAATCCACAAGATCCACCACCACCAATTATTTCTCTAATAATGTCTCGCATGTTACTAGATTTCGGCGAAATTATCGTTACACAAGTTTACACATCTTTTTCTGATAGACTATATACTTCTCGAGATAATAAAAATAGATTTGCCGTTGATGTTTATGGTGGATATGGAGAACGTCATGCTATTTCTAAGGAGTTGACACAGGATGTTAGAGAAATTGTTGGAGTATGTAAGGATATTGCACAGGTATAAAAACTTTTTAATCTCGAATAAATTTTGAATACTTTATTAATCACAATTTTTTTATAGAGAATTTTAGAACGATATGTGGAGATTGTTGGAAATCGAATTTCCATGAATGTTCGTGGCCTTTATACCATGAAATCAGGCACTACAGATTTAACTGATGCATCACAACCAATAGGTGTTTCAAAAATATGGAATGTCATTATTACAGAATTGGCACTTATTGAAAAAGAAGTTGTGATGCTCTACGGGACTGAGGAGGAAAATAATCTAGATGATCAAGGTGATGGAAAGTTTTATTGCACAAAGAACCTTATAATATTTTAATATAATGCAAACTCAAAAAAAAAAATTTTTTTGATATATGCAGACAATAATTCTTTACAATCTACCGATCAAAATTCTGCAGCAAATCAAGACAATTCAATTACTGTACGATCTCCTTATGCGCATTCAAATTCTTCCTATTCATCCATAAATTCGAATCGTCCAAAAACATCAAACCCGTTTTTTGCCAGCTTCACACATCTTACTTCTCATATAGACAAATTGTTTTCCGATAGAATCGAGATTTTTGGAATAGTTGAAATTGGAAAGCCGGGAATTATTATGGGCGTTATAAAAATATTATTAAAGGTATTTTAAGTTTCTTTATAAGCGCAATAAAATTACTGATATTTATTATGAAGTTATACTTATCTTTTTGTGATTCTAGGCGTGGATAGAAACCGTTCGTATGCAAACAATAACAAATAAAATATTTCAACAAATTCAAGTGGACTCGGAATTTGTACGACTTAAGTTATGGAAATATATTGAAGATGAGAGGTATATATTAATTAATGGTTTATGTAATGAGTAATTAATAAACTAAATTATTATTTATAATGTTATTAGAATATTGAATACAATGTTACAAGAATTAGCTTCAAGCGCATTTAGAAGATGTGCCGAAGATCCTTTGCCACTGGAAAATACAGTTAGTAATCCATAATTAAATTTGAACTTACTTCTTTAGACTTTTTAAGATATTTACTATCTGAAATTTGTTACAGGTTATAGAACAAATAGCTGGTAGCTTGTAATAGCAAATTCATGGTGGATTATGTAAAATGAAGACTAAGTTGAATTTTATTATATAATAGTAATAGTAACTAATTTAATAATCATCTATATTATTATTACACATATTTCTGTTTTAAAAGGTGGTTCCTTTCCAGTTATATACATACCTGATTTATAAAATCATGTTGTCAGATATTAATTCCGATACTCTTAAATCTTATCAAAACCTGAAACCTATTTTTGGAACACTAGTTAATTACCATATATCGTTAACTCTAGAATGTAAATAATATTGAATATATAGATGTACTATTTAGATGTGAACAAATATTCAAATACTTAAAAAGTCTGAACTCTTGTATTTCAAATGGAAATAGGCACGGCTCGGCATGCTGAGTCAACTAAGTTGACTCGATTCATACTGAGTCAGCTTAACATAGAATATTATACTCATTATAATTAATTCAGAGAGCTTCTAAAGGAGGTTTACCGTAACTTAGTATACAGCTAAGCTAATAAATATTAGTGTTGTAGATGGATACTGAACATTCATAGGTTCGGAATCTAACTTATACTGAAACCGGTTTATACTAAAATTTTTGGAGCCTCTTTTTTGAAAGCTTTTTTAAGGATTAGTATTTTATTTCTCAACCTAAAAATATCAATATCCTTTATTTAGAAACAAATTTATAGTGATCTGTCAGTAAACATCTTGGAAGAAAATCTTTATTTAACAGGTTGATCTTATTATTAATAAGATATATCACTTATATTGCAAAAACTTTGAAGATTGGTAAAATAAATTTATTAATGTACATGAAACCAATCTAAATTTACTGCCAACAGAAATAAAATTCAATTATAATGATGAACCAAAAAATAAAAACGATCTAATTTATTATATGAATGTGGAGTATTAATAGAGAATAAATCTTCGAATATGATTAAAAAAAATAAAACCAGCCAAAATGGATAATGGTGTTTACATTATAATGGTAGTATATTTATATTTATTATTAAAAAGATAATAAAACTTGGTTTTTTGTTCATTTTTTAAATAATTTTTCCGTTTAATTGGATTTAGAATCAAATTAAAGTTGATATCGAATCTACAATTATTCTGTATCTACCTACAACATTAACATTAAAAGTGCATTCTAATGGTTTTATTCACTAAATATAAGTGTAGGATAAATTTGATAAGATATCCAAGTACTTTTCTTTTTTTTTTTTCAGAGCGGTGTAGTGTAAATAAAATACACATTTTTACTTTTCAAAGAAACTGTTATATTATCAAGATTTAAATTTGTTTACCTTAAAATTTTTTTAATTACCTATCGAATTTAGTTGCTTATTTATAATGTGATAAGTGCAGTATTCATTAATGATTACGATAGTATATTCATCAAATGTGAAATACAAAGTTCTATAAAGGTAATTTATTTTCTTCTTCTAATTCACTAAATTCTTTTGACCACTTTCTAACCAAAGCAGTATATTTCTCAATAACTTCTCTTTGTTGTGCTATATTTTGTTGTAATCCATTAATTTCCTTTATACAAATAATGATAATTGAAAAAACGATTGTTAATAATTTAAAATTTGGGTTGTTTAATATTATGATAAAATTATGAAAATTACATCTTGTAAAGCAATTTGTTCCCGTTGTTTTTCTGACTGAATAATCTTTGATAAGGCTGTTTCCAATTTTTTAGCTATCTGTAGAAATCTAAGAAGATGAACTTTATTCGCTTTGTTTTTATAATAAATAAATATTTAGAATCTTTAATCCAATTTAATTAAATATCTTATTAAAAATTTACCTTGTGATTCATCTTGAGAAGAACGAGATCTCTCAGTATTATCTGAGCCATTTGGCACTATTCGTTTTATACATTCGTCAAATTCAGAGTTTAACTGGTTTAGAAGAGTTTGCAATGAATCATCAAGGGGTGAGGTAAAAGACATGATGTATTATATTTATATTCATGCATATTTATATTGCTTTAAATATATCATCATTGAGATATTGTACTACTTATAAGATAATCAGATAATCAGGATCGGCACAAAAATTTTTGAGAATGTAATGTTCGTTTCGTAACATATGCAAATTTTTTTATTAGGCACTTAAAATATTTTACGAGAACGTGTATTAGAATAATTTGTTAAAATATATCTATCTTATTTTTACAAATATTAGTTAAATTTTAAAATCGGATAAGCAACTAACAATTCTTGACTATCCCAAGTTTCATTCTTCGTCACTTGAAGAATTATCATTATCGTCTTCTGCATCTCTTATGCGATTTGTATTTACAAAAATTTGGTCATCCGAGTCATCACCGGAAAGCCTTAACAGTAGTTTTATGTAAGAATTTCATTATAAAAAAATGATATATATATATTATTTTTACCTGGTTTGATTTGGAATCTCTTGATTTTCAAATTCTTTAGGCCTTTTACATTTAAAAAATATATATGAGTGATATAATATAGTTGATTAATTGTCATTTGATTATATCCCCCGTGATTTCAAAATAAAAATTATAAATATTTTCCTGACCATATTCCTTCTGATTTTAAATGTTTTACGTGCTCTGGAAACAGTATATGGACAATTTCTCCACCTATTTTTTTAACTTTATCGGGTTCTAAGGGTTCTATAATAACATAACTTCCTGGCAAAAGAAAAAAAAATTCTTTAAGGGATGACTTTTGTATAATAAAATAAAGTGGCAATTGAACCACAAATGTATACCACGCTTCACCCAAACTAGACTACGAAATTTTGGTGGTAAGATGCATAAAGTAACGGTACCATCATAATATTGGACTTCATGAAGATTTTTACCGCGACTACCTAAAACACGAGCTATTTTTTGTGTTTCTGTTGGGATTAAATTTGATGTAAGAATTTGATTTGTTGTTTTTTGTTTTCTACCCATTTGATATCACTACGTAGAGAGTTTCTGATATGTACAAATCTGGTTTTTACAGCAGGGTACGTAGATCATACTAAATCAGGTTTTACACAAACAAAAAAAATAAAATTCGTCGGTTCATTCACCCGTCAATTTCGCGTTTGTTAAATTATAGTTCACACGACCATATGTTTATAGAAAAATTCTTGCGATTATTTTAAAAATTCTCAATTTATTCGCTCATATATGGCACCATCGCACAGATTTTTAACAGACCTTTCTGATGACATGGCTGAATTATTAAATACAGGTGCTGGTTACGATGTTGTAATTCATGTTGGAGAGGAACCAAATGTTAAAGAATTTAGAACACATTCAGTAATGCTAGCAGCAAGGTGTCCATATTTTCAAACTGCACTATCAAGTAAATGGGCTAAAAAACAAGGAGATATTTTTGTATTTCGCAAGCCAAATATTTCTCCAAGAACTTTTAATGAAATCTTACTGTGAGAATTTGTTTTTCTTTTTCGTCATTTCATTTCTTGAATTAAAAAAAAAACTATTCTAACAAATTTTTTTCTTAAATTTATCAGATATTTATACTCCGGAACAATAGACTTAGTACAACAAGATGGCATTGATTTAATAAAAATTATCGTGGCTGCTGACGAACTAGGCCTTCAAAAAATTGTAGAAGTAATAAAACAATATTTAATCGATAATCAATCCGAACTTTTAATTAGAAATCCTATCCGGTTCGTTCAATCCGTATTCCATTATGATATATGCGCTTTCTTAAGAGATTATTGTCTACAAGCAATTTGTGAAAACCCTCATATCATTTTTGGTTCGTCCGATTATTTATCACTTGATAAATCTCTTCTATTGCGACTCTTAAATTGCGAACAACTAGAAATGGAAGAAATTGATATTTGGCTAAACATACTTAAATGGGGAATCGCTCAAAATTCTTTATCAATTAAAATTGATGAAAGAAATCCTGCAAAAAATTTGTTACAATGGACTGACAAAGATTTTATTGCATTAAGAGAATCATTAAATGATTTAATTCCACTTATTAGATGGATACACATTTCTTCTAGTGATTTCTTATATAAAGTTCGTCCTTTTAAAAAACTTTTACCCCAAACTCTTTATGAAGAGATTTTAAGTTATCATTTGGATTCTGGGAATAAGCCAACTTCTCTTGAAATTCTTCCACGAAAGGGTCCAATTTTTGATTCGAGTTTGATGGACCATCAACATATTTGTGCATTGGCAAGTTGGATAGATAATGAAGATAATTATTACGATAGAACAACAAATCCTTATAACTTTAAGCTATTATTGAGAGCTACTAGGGATGGCTTTGATCCTACAACATTTCATACCTTATGCGATAACAAAGGTGCAACTATCATGGTATCAAAACTTTCTTCAACAAATCAATTAATTGGTGGATATAATCCTTTATTTTGGTCACCAGATCCTCATCTTTCTGAAAATTCGGCTAGTAGTCCTAATAATAATAGTACGAGTGGTGGTAGTTGGTGGAAGACTTCTTCAAGTTTTTTATTTTCTTTTAATGACTTAGATTTCAAAATAGCTCGAGTCGAACGACCACAATATGCAATTTATTATGATCGAAAATATGGTCCTGGATGGGGTTACTCTGGAGATTTGATTATTAAAGATTCTGGTTCAATCTATAATAGTCAGAAATCCATGACTTATCCTGATGCATCAAAATTTTTCCCTTATACGACTTCATCAGAATATGATATTGATGAATATGAAGTTTTTCAAGTTGTAAGAAAACCTGGATTTAAAAAAAAGAATAGAGCAAGATATTATTCTCGTGAGATTGTACGAACGTTGAAGAGACAGAATTGGAATTATTTTTTCAAAGTTTTAATTATGATAATGTTTACGTTGTTTATTGGATGGATGATTATTAAATATGAGATTCATTGGAAGGTTAACATTTTTGTAAAATGGTTTATTATAAATTTATATAAATCAATGAATAAGTATGCAAAAAAAATTGTTATTATAGTAAATCGGTATAGACGTTAACCAATTAGAGATAGAAATATTATTTATATATATTTTTTAATCGAATTCATTCTTTGTTGCAATTAAATAAAGTTTAGCATGGCTGTTTATTAGTGTGTTATATAAATCCAAGTTGGATTAGAATTATAAAATACGTTAATTAAAGATTCAAACCAGTTGCTAAACTGAAAATATCAGGTAGTTTACATACCTGAAGTCATTTCGTCCATAATCAAAAATCATGCAATATTCGACTTCATGAATGAAGTTAATCAAAAATCAAAGTTCATAATCAAAAATCATGCAATATTCAACTTATAAAATCATGCAATATTCGACTTTATAGAAAATGTGTTACAATAAGTTTATGCAAATCATGCAATATTCGACTTTATAAGTAAAGTTTATAATCAAAAATTAACTTTATAAAAGTGCATTATAATCAGGTTCATAATCAAAAATCATGCAATATTCAACTTTATAATAAAATCATGCAATATTTGACTTTATAAGCAAGGTTTATAATCAAAATTAACTTTATAAAAGTGCATCATAATTATAAACAAGGTTTATAATCAAAACTATGTAATATTTGACTTAATAATAAAAATTATGCAATATTTGACTTTATAATAAAGCATGTTATAATTAGGTTTATAATCTAAATTATATAATATTTAACTTTATAATAAAGCACATCATAATCAGGTTTATAATCTAAATCATGCAATATTTAATATTATAATAAAATATTAAATTAGAGCATGTTCAACAATCACAACTCTTTCTGACAATCCCTCGCACCAAAAATTCTACTAATACCGACCTATGAATATTGTGTAGTTAGTATGTTTTTTCATAACAAAACTTTGCC